GGCTCCAGTCTTGTGAGACTAATTCTGATCAGCTTTAAGTTCGAAGTTGCTGGGTATCAGGGCACATGACTTTAATTTGAGCACTCAGGAGGCAGAGGCAGGCAGATCTCTGAGTTTAAGGCCAGCCTGGTCTACGAGCAAGTGACAGATCAGCCAAGGCTACACAGAGAACCGTTTCAAAAAAAAAAAAAAAAACCCAACAAGACAAAAACAAAACCCTGCAAGGTGCTAGCTCCATCATGGCCTTTACTCAGCCAGGGGCAGCAGGGTCACTAAAGAGCTTAGGTGGGCACTCCCTTTCCTTCTTTTCCACAGGCTCACACCAGCCTATTTTGTTTCCCATTTGCTGTGATTTATCTCGAATTACTTACTTAGCGAGCAGTTCCCGACAGTCCCTGGTATCCTTGGATTCTGGCACTCTCAGACATGGGAGATAGAAACAAAAGGAGGAGACCAAGGGATGGACACAACGCTCAACTAAATCTCTCCTAACCGTGAAGCAGCAGGGGCAAGGGGGAGCCATGGGTGCCAGGGAGAGAGGTGTCAGGACAGGCAGGGCTGCCAAGCTGAGGAGCAGAGGCATCAGGAAGCCATGAAGCATGCTGTGCATGGGAAGACCTAAGTTTTGCTCGGTGCCTGAAGTGGGACTGTGAGAGGAGGCATCTGACGATCAATGTCCAAGGCAGTGTCAGCCAGCACTTAGAATGTGGAACTGTGGAGCAGGTCACTTGCTGCAAACCTAGCAGCAGAAGTACCTGTTCTTCAATCTGTTGACATGTTTCATTGTGACACACCCATATAGAAGAGTTAAAGCAGGCATGACATGTGTGACAAACTGACCACAAAGACCCTCATCCCAGGTGACCTTTCTGTACTGGTCCAGTAACACCAGATTTTCTTGACAGTTTTAGAGTTTGTGTATTTTACAGAGATGCAGCCAAGCCTGTGTTTGAACTGTTCAGGGGGACTGTCTGTATGTGCTCTGGTAATGTCCTCCTAGGCATCACATCTGAGACTCTCATCCCTTCTCTTTGCTGAAATGCAGTCCATGTTGGGCCGTTCCCTGTGGGCCCCTCTTGAGGAGGCTGATCTGAATTATAACAATGTGAGTTTCACATTATAATGCTCCTGGGAGTGCAACAGTGAGTCCAGTGCCGTATCACACCGTTCCTGCAAGGCCTTGATGATTAAAGCAGGTCTCTCTGCCCTGCACGTGCCAACACTTGCTGTTTTCTCCCTTGCTAACTTTCCTAGTCCACATGAATGCATATTAGTCCTGACCAGAAGGTTCAGAGTCTTTCAGATTTTTTAAAAATGAAAACAGGTTTCCAGAGAAGACTCTTTTTTTTTTTTTTTTAGTCAGCCAGTCTAACCAAAAGGGTTAGATTGGGCTGTGGTGACCTATACCTTTAATCTCAGCACTTCAGACACAGCCTGGTCAACACAGAAAATTCCAGAACAGCAAGGGCTACACAGAGAAACCCTGTTTCAAAAACAAAACCAAACAAAACACATCCCCCCTACCCCAACCTAAACAAAAGAATTAATTCTTTAAAAAATATTTTTAAACATTTAAAAATTGTGTGTATATGTGTGTGTATCTGTACACTTATTAGTGAGTGCAGGTACCCAAGGGGTTAAGAGAATACTGGACCCCTGGGGGCTAGAGTGGCAGGCATTTGTAAGCCACCCAACATGAGTACTGAAAACTCATGTTCCCTGTGAGAGTAGCTTTCTTGTATCATTCAGCCATCTCTCCAGCCCCAAGGAAGCTTCTTGTAAAGGGTTAGTTACCCTCAGTCTCTTCCTTCTTACACAACAGTGATGCAAACCAACCCCAGGATAAACAGAGGGGCTGTGTAAGTATTTGACCCGGCTTGGTAGTTCACCCTGAGGCTATGGGAGCCAATTAGTTCATCTGCTCCATTTTGACGAAGGATATCATGGATGTAAAACTGGGGCCATTGAACAAAATGTTAAAATTTTGTGCATATGTGTAGTGAAAACATGTGTGTACACATGTATGTGCAGGTACACTTGCCTATGTGTGTATAGGTTAGAGGTTGAACTTGGGTATCTTTCTCTATTGTGCTGTATCTTTATTTTTTTTTGGTAAAAAAAAAAAATTACTCTGTGTGTATGTATGTGTGTTTTGGAGTGTGCATGTCAGAGCACAAGCATGGCATTCATGGAGGTCAGAGGAGAACTTTGTGGAGCTGGTTTGCTCTTTCCACCTTTCTGTGTCTCCTAGGGACTGAATGACAGTTGTCAGGTTATATCACCGGGAGCAAGTGTCTACCCACTAGCCATCTTACTGGGTCCTCCATCTTACTTTTTGAGACAGGATCTCTCACTGAACCAGAAGTTGACCTTTTGGTTAGACTGGTTGGCTAGTGTGTGCTTCTCTTCTTCCCCAGGATTCACCTGTCTCTATCCCATTACAGTTTCAGGCTTCTACTGCCATATCTGGCTTTTATATGGGTTCTGGGAATCTGAATTAAGATCCGCATGTTTGTACGGCAAGGATTTACCCACTGAGCCACCTCTCCAGCCCTATCAGATTTTAAATGTTTCTTAGCATGCACAGACTGAAAGGGAGACTTGGAGAGAGGAGAGCAGGTGGGTAGAGACTTGGTAGCGACGGCTCCTGCTGATTGGGCAAGTTTCTTCCTACTTTCCCACCCTGTTGGCATATTTCTTTCTGCTTGCTTTTGCTTCCTTAGGCTTTATATCCTTCCTTGTTTATTATTTATTGTTTCAGAAGACATAAACTGGCTACCTCTGTGCCCAGTCTGCCTCAATTCCAATCTTTCCTGTCTCAAAACAAGCATAAAAATTTTTCTTTGGCTAGCTGAGCAGTGGTGGCACACACCTTTAATCCCAGCACTTGGGAAGCAAAGGCAGGCAGATCTCTGAGTTCCAGGTCAGCTAGGGCTACCTAGAGAACTCCTGCCTCAAAAAATCAAAATCAAAAAGAAAACAACAACAAAAAAGAAAGACAAAACCAGAAATTCCTTTGGTTGGTAAACATGCCCAAAGATAGAGAACAAGAGAACACAAAGTATTTCTACATCCATTAACAAAACCAAAACATCAGCTTTACTGATGTGACTGTCTACAGTGTGACGCTCCCCACAGGAGCCTCACTCGGCACTGGTACAGAAGTTGCCTCTAGCAAGCAGGTGGAGTGTGCTCGCGCGCGCGTGTGTGTATGTGTGTGTGTGTATGTGTATCCTAGAACTTGTTCATTAGATCAGGCTCTCCTTGAACTCAGAGATTCACCTGCTTCTAAATCTATATTCCTGAGTGCTGGGATTAAAGATGTGAGCCACCACAGCCATCTTGGAATGCAAATTTTAATACTATTTTCATGTATGAAAAATCCCACAAAGTACTACAATCAACAAGGACATGCATAGTTTGTATAGCTTAGGACAAGATGGAGGAAAGCAAACTCTGTTCTCCTCCTGGAAGGTCCAGTGAGGGTGAGAGCAGAGTCACCACGTTTTAGAGAAGTCAAAGCTGTTATCCTCCTGTCCTTCCAGTCTTTGTCCCTCTGTCCCCGTCATTCCTGTCTCTCTTGATCCTGCTCTTTGCTCTGGGGTGTACAGGGTCATCATGAGTAGGAAAGCAGTGGTGGTTTTCTGAGTGAATGGAACCTACTAGATAGACCTACAGATGTCAATATGCACGGATATAGAGGGACCACAGCTCTGGGAGGGGGTGTGGATGAACCTTAGGGGGTAGTGCTTGATGGGAGAGTCTGGTGCTTTGCATGAGAAAGACAGCTAGATGGTTGGAGGAGGGTGTTGCTGGGGAAGAAGTGGGCTTGGTCTGTGTTGTCCTCCCTCCCCCACACCTCTGTTTCTGCCCTGTCCTTTTCATCTTGATCCCACAGCTGAGCTAGGGCCTGGTGAGTTCCTGCAGCTCTCTCCCAGGCCAGCTTCTGGGCAGCAGCATGGCATAGCCTCTACTCATCAGACCCTCAAGTCTCCCAGTGCTGCCTTCTCTACCAAGTAGCTGTATCCTGACACCTTAGTTGGTTGACACAGTCTGGGCCGAAAACCAAGATGTTCCCATTACTTATAATAGGAAACTAACAAGAGCAAGCCCTTGTCATTCCTTAAGAAAGGAACTGGTGAGAGCCAGACCTGGTCAGTACTCAGGAGGATGAAGCAGGACGATGATCCCGAGTTCAAATGGGCTACACAGTGAAAGCTAGTCACGCAAAGCAAGTGGACAAACAGTAATCAAGACAGCTGGACTAGCTGGTAGCTCCCGAGTCACCTCTCCTGCCCTGCACAGTGTCATGTTATAGAGGAGGGAAGGCCCAGGAGAATAACACACAGGAGAATAGCATCACAGTAGGGTAAGGCAGCTAGAGGGAAATGCTTTTGAGAAGTGAAAGGAAACCAAACACAACCAAAACCAGACCTGAGCCAGGCCCCTACCTGGTGGCCCCGCCTGCCCCAAGTGTGGGCTCTAGGTTCCTTGAATAGGAGAGGGAACCTCTGCTCCCTCTGGCAGCACAACCATGGGTATAAAACTCCCCAACAGGGATTTAAACCAGTGGATGACAGTCTGTTTCTAGATAAAATTTAATAAACATCTATTTGGTTTTGCTTTAAATTAATTAAGCATTTATAAAAATCAGAGGTAATACAGCTCGATCTAAGGAAATGATAGCTGGTTCTGGCTAGGGCTAGGAAGGCTGCCTACTAGGTGTGGGGACTGCAGACAGCTAGATTGATACTCAAGAACAGGCCTGATGTCCAGAGGTTGCCAGGACAGGCCCCTCTACTGTTTCTCCTCCTGCAGCCACCCAGATGCAAAGCCTGAGTATGATCTCCAGGTGCAAAGGCTGCAAGAGATAAACAGGCTGACACACAGTAGCTCTGTGCTATCCCAGGAGGACAGTGTTGAAGGACAGGGATACAGTCTGACTCCTAGGGGCTCCAGCTCAGATACAAGCCTCTCAATCTCTCCTTTCCTTCCTGCAGGCTTTGTGCTGGTCATCGGACTGGTGACCTTCTACAGAATTGGCCCTTACACCAACTTATCTTGGTCTTGCTACCTGAACATTGGTGCCTGCCTGTTGGCCACCCTGGCGGCTGCAATGCTCATCTGGAACATTCTTCACCGGAGGGAGGACTGCATGGCACCCCGGGTGATCGTCATCAGCCGTTCTCTCACAGCACGGTTTCGCCGTGGCTTGGATAATGACTATGTGGAGTCTCCATGCTGACAGCACCCTTATGGGGACTCTCTATGAATAACCACTATAACGCTGCCGTAGTCTAGAAACCGGTAGACTGTTCCAGGCCCTGCTTGTGCAGAGGTGTGGGGCAAGTCTGGGCTACCTATATATACATATGTATGATACTCATGTACATTTATTATGTTACATATGAATATATTATGTGTCTCTGTGTCATTGTGTCACCCTACTTCTGACACGATCTTCCTTGGCCAGCATAGCATGGCTTCACATCATGCAAGTTTCAAAGGTGGAAACTAGAAACTGAGGCAGGGAAGGAGGCAGTGTGGGGCACCTTGCTCCCCCCTCCATTTGGGGTTAATTTATTCTCCATCTACTAGGATGGTATCCCCAGTTACTTTTACACAATGCAGAACATCCAGGAATCTTCATGAAGGGTCTGATAGTCCTTGAATAAAACAGACCTTAGAACAGGTGGTACCGGTTTCACGCCAGAGTCAGGTTAAGAGCGTACGTTTTACTCCTGATTATTTGTCTAAGTTAAAATAAACACAAGTCTCTGAACTGAGTCTAAAACTCGTGTTTTATCCACTTTATCTCCACTCTTCTGAGACTTTTGTGGGATGACCTAAAAAGGGCTAAGAAGACCATTAGAGACCCGAGAAGGCACATACCCTAGGTCATGGCTGGTGCAGCCCTAAAGTCCACATTCCTGCACCCTGAAAACTGGCCTGTCACAGCAGAGCAACAGGAGGAACCAAGGATGAAACCCACTAGCTTTTCTCAGAAAAGCCTTTATCCTCTCTCCAGCTAGGGTGTGACAGGCTACTGGATACTTCCAGAGGCCATGCTGCTTTCAGATACGATACGCTGGATCCCGCAGTCTGTGGCTGCCCAGGAGGTATATAAAATCTGTACCTGTGGGGTTAAAAATGGTCCACAGAACCCAGGGCTTCCTGACCACATCTGTGACCAAGGTCCTGGTGCACCCTTGCTAGACGGCTTCTTGGGAATCAGCACTGCTTGGTCATTGCCACCAGGAATCACTGCTGGCATATGCAGCAAGAGGAAGCTGTCACTGTCAGAACATGAAGGCCAGGAGTGACATGCCCTCCTCTGGCTGCCTCTCCTAGTAAATGTCAAACTTTGTTACTTTCAGCCTTCTAGTGACTCCTGTTGAGCAGTTTAAATTCTGAAGCCCATCCTAGGCCAAGGCTTTGTCTTAGTCAGAATACACACAAAGACACTGATAATGACATATGAGCATTTAGATTGGCCACATGCAACGCATTCAGCACACTTGGAAATGAGCAGGCCCATGTCCACGGTACCGCATACAGAGTCAGGCATGTAGCTATGTCTTCCTTCCACTTGTCTCTTCCTCTAAGACATTTTTATTTCTAGTCATACACTAACACTATGTATGTGCCTAAACACATTAGTATTGTGTATTTGTCTATGTGAAGTACATTAAAGGTTTAGAAGTGGCCATGCAGTCTACTTTAGGTTGTGATCATGTCCATAGTAAATGAAAGTGATCCAGGAAAGGGTGGCCTTGCTGGTCACCTCCAAGCTAAATGTCTACATGGCCAGTATGGGAAAAAAAAACCTCCCAACTGTAATAAACAGCTCTGTTCTGAAACTCACTATGTACACCAGGCTGAACTCAGACTCACAGAGATCTGCCTTCCTCTGCCTCCCGAGTGCTGGGAGCCACTTTGCCTGGCAACTTTTCCTTTCTCATGGTATAACTCTCCCATATTTTATTTTACTTTTTTTTTGTTTGTTTGTTTTTTTGAGACAGGGTTTCTCTGTGTAGTCCTGGCTGTCCTGGAACTCAGTCTGTAGACCAGGCTGCCCTCGAACTCAGAAATCCTCCTGCCTCTGCCTCCCAAGTGCTGGGATTAAAGGTGTGCGCCACCACCGCCCGGCTTTATTTTACTTTTAAATGAAAATTTGTTAAATACCCATGCTAAGATTTTTCACAATTGTCTCAGGAGTGGAGAAAGTACTTGCAGATAGCCATTTTTTTTTTTTTTTTTTTTTTAAGATGGGGTCTCACTATGCACCACAGACTGGCCTGGAATTCACTACACAGTCCAGGCTGGCTTCAAACTACAGTAATCTTTCTACTTCGGCCTCCGAAGTGCTGGGGTTGTAAGAGCGAGCCAGCACATCTAGATCATTACCATTGCTTTCATAAAACTTAGCTGCATTTCATTGATAGTTTTGGTGTTTACTATTACTTTTGAGCAATATTTAGTATCTGCAGAACTTTTGACCAGAATATTCTGAATACTTTAAAATTTAAAAAAAAATAATGAAGGAACAGCTAAAGGCTCCCGGCATCACTGACACCAGGCATCAGGCTTTCCTGCTGCAGCCAATGCACAGTGTCCAGATATGTCCCATGTACTTGGGCCTGATGGGCGTTTCATTGAATAGAAAAACAGTTAAACATTGTAAGATGATCATAGAAGGGCTGTCAGCTTAAAATAAAATTGACAAAGAAGGCATAAAAGGGGCTGGAAAGATAGCTTAGTGATTGAGAGCACTGTTGCTCTAGTGGGAGACCTGTACCCACCTCATCATCATCAGTGACTGTAACTCCTGGGCAACAGATGTCCTCTGACTTAGGCACTAGGCATGCATGTGGTGCATATACATATATGCAAGTAAAATACTCGTACATATAAAATAAGTCTAAGAAAGCTTTTTGAAAAAGAAGGCATTAAAAAGGCTGAAGCCTCTAGGGGGACGCATATGACCTTTGACACGAGTGAGGGACTCCTTACCTCTTGATGAGTTTGATAGATTTGAAAGCTTCATCCATGTCTCCAATGGTGACAAAGAAGCTGAAGTTGAGCATGGCATCCCGAGTAGGCTTGTCACAGTCCTCCAGCCCCACAAAGTCTCGTAGGGGCCTCTTGGCTACCATCTGAGGGATGTGGTAGTGCCCAGAATCCACTCTGTCTTCTTTGTCTGCTTCTCCAGGCTGGAGGACAAAGGCCCCATAAGCTTGTCAAACAATACGTAAAGCTAATGCCAGCACTCAGTCTTACCTCCCTATATTCAAACAACCACTGGGAAATCTATATGCAGGGATGTATATGTATATAATCATAGGCCTAATGGTTACCACAGGCCTCAAGAAACCTTTAAGGTCACTGGAAATGACCAAACCTTTGGGCCCTTGTTTTCAGGTAAACAAAGGCTGTCCAGGTATAAACTTGTTTGTCAGCCTCTAATTTAGTAATATCAGAGTCTCACATTAAAAATAACTCTTTCAGCCGGGCGGTGGTGGCACACACCTTTAATACCAGCACTTGGGAGGCAGAGGAAGGCGGATTTCTGAGTTCGAGGCCAGCCTGGTCTACAGAGTGAGTTCTAGGACAGACAGGGCTACACAGAGAAACCCTGTCTCAAAAAAACGAAAAAAAAAAAACAAAAAACAAAAAACAAAACAACAACAACAAAAAAACCCAACTCTTTCAACCTCCATCTCCTAGAGTTTCATTCATCATCAAGATTTTTACCAGTTTAAGTGACTTAACTAAAGTCAGATACACATGTATCTCTTAAAGAAACTGTCTTTCTTGAACAGGAACCCGAGGAGCCCACTGCCCTGCCATGGCTCATCTACTGCTCTCAGCTTCTGTATCTGTGCTTCTCTCCAGTGTGGGCACTTCCTTCTCTCTGCAGACCATTTGTTCTGTATGCACACTCTAGCACATATTTGTCACATGACTAACCTAGTGGTGGCTTCAACCACCTCCCTCCCCAGCTCAGATGTCATGAACAATTCAATCTCACTGTTCCTTCTGAGTCCACCCTGGTAGGCACAGTGAGAAGGCCCGAGGAGGAACCAACATTTGACCTGGACTCTGAAAATCTGGTGGAATTTATCGTGCCTTGTGGTAGCTGGAAAACCCTTCTAGATACAGCACAGGGCATAAGCAAAGGTTCTGCTGATGGCAGATTGAGTCTCTCTCTCTCTCTCTCTCTCTCTCTCTCTCTCTCTCTCACACACACACACACACACACACACACACACACACACACGCACACACACACGGTAATACCAACTAGGTAACAGAAGAGAACTGTGCACCAAGCCGGATGCTGTCCTTCACACTGATAACAGCATCATCCCTGGTATGGTACTAATGAGAACACAGTTTACTGTGTGAGCACCCTGGGGAGCCTTGGAATTCCTTGCTTATGCACCGTGCTTCTTATTTTAGCTCCTTGTTACTGATCTGTGAGGAACTGTTTTCTATGGCCACACTGCCCAGAGCACATCTGAACTTGTCTCATCTTGGGAGCTAAACAGGGCTTGGACCTCATGGTATTTGGATGGGAGGCAGAGACTTTTAATCCTATGTCACAGTAGACTGGACCAACCTGCCATCACATTATAAGGGTGCTAGAACTAAGAATACTGGACTCTCCCAGAGCATTCTGGGATGTGTGGGCACTGAAAATCTGTGGAAAAGGAGACTGAAGAATGGCCTGTCAGCAAACAGAGGATGAGCAGCTTTTAAAGAAACACAATGCCTTCAGGCTGTTCTTTGGCAGCACTTTGCAGAGTAAACTAATGATACTACCTGTATTACAAACATAGGTGGATCAAGCATTTCCTGCATCTGGAGATCATATGCAGTGGCTCCACATGCCACAGGACACACCAGACTAAGAACTAATGGACTCCTGGTAAACTTCACTAAGTCACATGGCTACGGGACAAAACCAAAAGCCCTCATCACCAGGAAAGTTTCCTATGCAGGTGAGCAGGGATGGCACACACAACACAGCGAGAAGAAAAGCCTCTCAGGGACATGACAAAACCAAGGTGACAAGCCACACCCTGGGGCTTTGTACTTACGACCGCATCATAGACGCCTCTTCTGTGGAACAACAACTATGAATGCAGGCACAGAGAGGGAGCCGAGAAAAAAGAAAGCATGCATAAATGTGTGGACGGAACACAAGTGCAGAATGTGAAATTAACTTAGAAAATTCAACAGAAAGCACTCAAAAGAGCTTTCAAAATTCTCTTTTCAGGTCACAGGGAAATTAAATCAAAGAACACAAAACAAGAATGAAAAATTTATCAGTATGGTGGAGGAATTCTATTTAAAAACAAAGCATTAGGGATACCTGCACTGACAGAGAAAGGACTCCCAGAACTACGCAGATCACATGAACACCTTCCCAGTTGTCACAGACATGAGCCCCATTTTCAAGGCACACGAAAGTGTAACACACAGAGTGCTCAGACACCAGCTTCTGGTGGCTGTGCGATACAACTGCATGTGCTAACTTGAGAGAACTGGAACTGACTGTCTTGGGTTTGTCTTTATTTAAGACGTGTGTATCGTTATATATGTATGTTTGCGGATCTTACTAGAGGCTGATCAGTAACCAGTCGCCAGCTGAGGGGCAGCAACCACGTCTATACTGTTCTGTGCACCAGCAGCTCTAAAGTGACTCAGCTCTGGCAAGAGCTGAGTGCGGCTTGTATTCTTGCGACTGCCTAGCAGTCTACACCGTATGGTTTCCCTAGCTTAGGACTGTGTGGAGGGGACTACACAGGTCCCGGCTTTTACTCTGTCTCCCTGGGGCTGATCCTACTACTCACTTTTGGTTATAAAAGTAACAAAAGGCTCAGTCTGCCACAGTTGGAAACATCTGAAGTCCTAGCAATCTAGGCACTCCAGAGGCTGAGGCAGGACTACTGTGAGTTCAAGGTCACCCTAGGCCACACTGATAAAACTTTGCAGGAAAGAAAGAAAGGGAAAAAACAGAGAGAGGAGGTTAGAGAAATGACTCAGCAGTTCACAGTACACACTGCTCTTGCAGAGAATTGCAGTTCAGTTCTCATTACCCAGGGGGTTCACCACCATCTGTACTGCCCGTGGTCTCCACAGCACTGCACTTGTGTGTACGTACTCACATGTACACACACATATATAATTAAAAGCCATTTTTAAAAAGATAGGAAGGTTCGTTTCAGACAATGAGAACACCGCAGGGATCATTTTAAAGACTGCTGTTTGCATCACCATATGGGGAGGCCCAGAAACACCTAGGTAAAAGGTAAAAGCTGAGAGTACAGGTCCCCTCCCTCCACCTTTCTGGTATGCCAAAAAAAGAGACGTGATATAGATAATGTGTACATTTTTTCCAGAAGATGTGGATCCAGTAAGAGGGCAGCTTCTTCAGTTCAGGGGATCAAAGCCACAACAGCAGCTGTAGTCCAGTGTGAAGCTCACCAACAGCTCCAGCCCCAGAGGCCTGACTTTGACCTCACAGGTACTAGCTCCTATGTGGAAAAAGTCCCTAAGGTAAGTTTGTGGGGTGTAGCTCCATGTGTTTGAGGGCTTGAGTTTGACCCTCTGCACTGAAAGAAGGCAGGAAAAAGAAAGCAGCAGCAGGTGCTGCCTGACTTGCAGCCACCACAGCCACCACCTCTCAGGTGGCAATGGAGCCCAGAAGACCTAGCAGTTGATAAAAATGGACACAGCAGCATGGGACTGCCTAGACTCAGTCCGCGCAACGTGTCATTTTAGAACCAAAGTCAAAATGGATCTCTGGCACATAAAACAAATGAGTCAGGATGTATGCTAGTGTCTGCTAACCCCACTCCTTCAAAAACTTATAAATGTGCATGGGCCTCATTTACATCTAGGTACAGAAACCTGAGTGGTGACAGCAGCTGCTACACTGTGAGCATCTCCCACCTGGGCTGGGATCAGGGAGATTTGTGTCACTTGTAATTCCTAAATTCCTCAAGAAGAATATAGGGATATTTATTCTAAAAAATCTAGCTAGAATACAAGGAAATGACAAAGGCTTAAAGTTTGCCTTTAGGAGAGCCAAGAGGGAAGGCCCACTAACATCTCAAGCGTGCTAGAGACACATGAAAGAATCCACCAGGGAAGGGAGAGCACAGGAATAACTGTAGGTACCAGGCATTCCCACCTTTTTTGTGAAGTAATAGTGAGGCACTTCCATGCCCAGAAGGTTCTGGTAGGTTGAAGGCCGGGGGAAGCTGTCATGGAGCAGGAAGCCATGTTCTTCAGAAGCGAAGAATGAGAGAATCAATACTTCTTCCTGGAAGACACAGGGCAGTGTTGCTCTGTTTTAAATTCAGCAACATAATTTCCCATTCTCTTCTCAATTCCTTTCCAGGGTATACAGTCTGGCACTGTTTCCTTCATCCCAGTGATACAGAAGCCAGTTTGATCTATTTTATCATTCTGGCACTTGAGGATCAAGGACAGGATTTGTTCCTGATATTCTCAGGGCACTAACTGATGTCAGATGGTCTCAGGGGCAGACTCCCATCTCTGAGGAGAATGCTTCCATCAAATAAATGAGTCCTTGTCAGGCAGTGATGGCATACGCCTTTAATCCCAGCACTCGGGAGGTAGAGGCAGGCAGATTTCTGAGTTCGAGGGCAGCCTGGTCTAAAGTGTGAGTTCCAGGACAGCCAGGGCTACACAGAGAAACCCTGTCTCAAAAAAAAAAAAAAAAAAGAGTCCTTAAACAACAGGGCTGACTTCCCTGTGATTACTTACTTGGGAGTTGTGCATGCAAACTGCTCTGAGAGGAAGGTGGGTTACAGAGGCACACAGACTGTTTTACTTTTAGGGCACAGCTGACATCTTATAAAACATAAGCCTAGCAAAATATCAGAGTCCCAGTCCCTATGAGTACTGTTCTAGAACCAAGAACATACCTACATGGAGGCTGAACCCTACAGGAGGGTAGGCAGTGAGGAGGGCAGAGACAGTGACTGAGGTCAGGTTGATGAGCAGTGACATACTTAAAAGCTGTATCTCAGACCCAATCTCAGCATGCGCTAACACATTAAGGTTAGTTCATACTGATTATCTATAAAGTGCTCTGCCCACAGAGAAGGAGCAAGATGGAACAGTTAAGAAAATCAAGAAATCAATATTTGGGGTTAGACTGGACAAGAAAAGTGGCTCAGAATAGGTCTGTGAGGCCTGGTTTATGGAAATGATCTTGGTGACACAGTGATCTTATTCATGAATGAATTTTCCTAGTAACTGTCCCAGGAAGACATTATCTTGCAAATGGTGACCATAAACAGGTAACATAGTAAAGCAGAAGGTACCTTGTGGCATGTGCCTTCCTCCACATGGGGTTGCTTGTCTACAGCCTGTGGCTGGGCTCCAGGTGCCTCCTGCAAGGCCTCGCACACAAAGAGCCTAGGCTCACTCTGATCCCAGAAATGGTTCACAGGAACGTAACTTGCTAGGCTCTCATCCATAAAGAAGTGGGTCCTAAAACAGAAGGAAAAACCCAGCCCCAACTCAGAGAAGAATATTTCTACTGCTGCCGCACACACCCACTCATAATCCTGTCAGTCAATGCCAGCAGGTGACAACACTGTTGGCAAGCCTATGGCTTTTGGAGCACCGTTGAGCCACTTTCCGCCACACAGTCTATCAGAACACTTTCTTGCAGACTTTGAGAAACAGGGGAGAAAGGGTTTGTAAAGTCTGGCTTAGGGGGGCACAGGGAGCTCAGTGAACCAGGTGGCAAAGACTGGAGATCTCAACAGGAAATGAGTATGGTGGCACATCCATTGGTCTCAGCTATCTGGGATATGAAGGGAGATCATCAGTGGCTCACTTAGGTAGGGAAAAAAAAAGAAGGAGCTGTTGACGTAAGACATCAGCAGAGATGAGAAGGAGAGCAATCCACTGAAAGCAGGTTACATGCCCCCTGGAGAGGAGTGCAGTAAACCCAGGGTGGATGACGGCACTGCTAGGGCTCAGTGGCTCTTGGTGGTTATGCAGGATCCACTCCTATAAGAAACATAGACCTCTCATAGATACCACCAGCACCAGCACTGGTGGTGTGCCCACAGGCCATAGCCTGCTTAGCTCTGTGCGTAACTGATATGACATGCACAGAATTTAGGATGGACCACAGACCAAGGACCTATAAGATGCCAGACACAAGTTGTGTCCTTTGTACTATGAGGAGTCTGGCCAGAGAGACTGGCCTGGCAGAGAGTTGGAACAGGCAGAGGATGCTGCCTATTCTTGAAAGAGAAGCCATGGAAATCAGGCAGAGAGGAGAATTAGAAGACATTTCACCAGATAAAGAGGGGAACTGGCAGGAGGGAGTAAGGGAGAGGTTAGTTCCAAAGATTTTGGACTCCAGATTGGGCTGAAGCTGTGTCAGTCTGAGGGGCGCCCACATTCTGAAGCAGATCATCAGTGGCTCACTCAAGTGGAAAGAAAAATGAAGGAGCTGTTGACGTAGGCATCAGCAGAAATGAGAAGGAGAGCAATCCGCTGAAAGCAGGCTGCAGAGAAGGGTCGAGGCAGGAAGAATTCATGGTATATTATGCAGGGAGATCTGAGCCAAGAAGGAAGGACCTGCCAGAGCTATTGGAAGTAAGCCTGGGGATGGGGTGTAACTCAGGGTAGGGTTATGCTTAGCACACACCAGGCTCTGGGATGTATCCTCAGCATCACAGTCAATCAAACAACAAAGACAGCAACAGCGGCAGAACAGTATAGAAAGGGATGACAGAAAAAGTGAGCCACAAATGCAGCCCTGCTCATGCCCATTCCTCAACTCTCTGCGAGCTCCACGAGCTCCGTGAGCTCCAAGGTAAGCATCGGGTTCCCACTTGATCTGTGTCCTGCACTTACTCCACTGTGGGCACATCTCACACCTGCCTCACGTCACAGGGAATTAAATACAGATGGTAACAAAGTCTGCAAGAGCTTGACATGCCAAAAACATGCTTTCTGTAGCAGAACACATGCTACACCAACCCCCTCTCCAAAAACAAGACAGTTATTTCTTATTTTCTCTAAACCCATTCTCTACAAAGGCCTCTTTCCGGTCCGAGGGGCTGGGAGGGCTGTGGCCACTCTGCTCTGGGACATCACTAGAGATGTTTGGGGAGAGGCTCCACAGTTTGAGTTTCTACTAAGCCAGTTCCATAATCTCAACCCTGGAACAGAGGCCAAGAACTTAAATCTACTTCAGCTGTTCATGTGTTGGTTTTACTATTTGGTTTTCCTACTAGTAACTTCTGGGAGGTTCTGAAATTCAAATATAACTTAGTAAGTTGGACAGTTAGGCACGTACTGTTTTCACCAAAACCCTCTCAATGTAATCTTACTCATTAGTCGGTGGCTCATTAAAGGGCAGAGTCTGTATCTGTCCAATCTGTCCAGTCTTGAAGTTGAAGACATTCACTGTGTCCATTTCAACATCATAGATGTAGATTTTGGAATCAGGACTGTTATCAACCTAGGAAAGAGAAGACATATCGGCGCAGGAGTGGCACGTGCTTCAGGAACTGTGCCCAGGGACTGAGCTGCCAGCCACTCTGGCTTGCAGTAAACAGCATCCCACCAGAACAATAACTTAATTCTTTACTAAGCCCCCTGAACTAGCTTCTTAGTTACTACTTTGTAATTTCAGGAAACTTAGAACAAAGTCTAAAAAGCTGTGAGCCACTCTTAGTTTTGACTGGAGATTTAAAATAAGAAAAGAAAAATAGGGTTTTACTATGTAGCCTCGGATGACTTAGACCCAGCTGGCCTTGAACTCACAGAGATCTGCTTGCCTCTGCCTCCTGAGTGCTGGAATTTAAGGAATATGCCACCATGCTCAGCCTGGAGGTAGATTAACTAAGGGACTCAAAAGGCATCTGGATTTATGGCAAAAGTATTATTCATACAACTGAATACAAATGAAATAAACATCACAAAGAGGGCGGTGGTGATTGTTTCCATTTGGCAGCTGACACAGGAAGTCGCCAGTAGAGATCCTAGTAGAGGCCAGCAGCCGGAGCCCAGAAGCCTGGCCGCTCCTGTTGTTGTACTGCCCGTGGCTCACAGTGGTGAGGAGCTTCTAAGGTCTGCGTCCATTGTTAATTCACAGGAGCACTATTCATGAGAGCGAGATGTGGGAGTCACCGCGTGAGCATCACAGATCAGTGGGGAAATGTGTCTGTCCAAACATCTCAGACACATGCTGCAGTGTGGATGAGCCCCGAGATGTGACACAGGTGAGAGAAGCCAGACTCAGAAGGCCACACAGTTTACGACATGTTCAGAACAAGAAAACCCAGAGGCAGTGAGCAGGCTTGAGGGTGACAGGAGGGAAGGTGTTTAAAACCAGCCAGAGGGGCAGCTGTACTATACTGCAAATGTGCCAAGTGCCACTTAATTGTTCACTTAAAGGGTTGACTTTAAGTTACACAGGTCCTCATCTCAAGTGTTTAGAGACCCTATTTTAAGATAAAGAAATGTCAGCATCGCCAAGGGCACACTGAGCCTATAACTGCCCTAGTATGCTGTGAGAGGAAGGAGGTGGAGACATACCAGCCCAAGTCCCAGGAGGCAGCATAGCAGTAACAATGGCGTAGCTGAGGGTTCTTTTATGCCATCTCTGAAAACTGCATGGACCTTGCCCCTCATCAGCGTGCTTGGTAAGTGAAAGAAAACAATTGGATCTTGGGTTGAGGCTCAGCTGCTCTAGGCTGCTGAGCTGCCCAGGGGATTCTGTCTGCCCTTACCAAATGACTACACGTTTTAAAGATGTCTTTAAGAAAAACTTTGAAAAGATTTATTTGATTCTATGTGCATGAGCACTTTGCCTACATGTATGTATGTGTAGCATGTGTGTCTGGTGCCCATGGAGGACAGAAGAGGCTGTCAAGATTCCCTGGCATTTGTGTTAAGGATGGTTGTGAGCCACTAGGTGGGTGCTGGAACAGAACCCAGGTCCTCTGCAAGAGCAACAAGTGCTCCTAACTTTTGAGTCATCGCTCCAGCCCCTCCACACAGATTTCTGAGGGTCAGGGATATTCTCTTCACAGTGTTCCAGCGTTCCCTGCCTGGGTCTGGAGGACTCTCCACTATAGGTCTCACACTGCCGCCACTTTGTGTCCTTATTTCTTTTGTATTACTTTAACAACTCCCACTCCTCCTCCCCTGCTCCAGCCGAGCTGCCCTTAGGGTCAGGGTTCTGAGCTGCAGTACCTCTTGGGCTGCTGCTAAATCCTGTTTTAAGATAGGGTCAGTGAGACAACAAAGCACAAGTGACAATGGCGTTCTTACTGTTGTCTTAGCACGCCTACTCATTCTTCTGAATACTTGTCAGGAAGACTATTCATATGCACATGTACATGTGAAAGAGTACTATTCATATGTACATGTGAAAGAGTACTATTCATATGCACATGTACATGTGAAAGAGTACTATTCATATGCACATGTACATGTGAAAGAGCTGAGCAAAGGGAGGAGCTGGGCTTGATCCCCCTCTTTCTGGCTTCCTCCACTGTGACATCAGCATTTACGTCCTGGCAAATTCAGGGTGTTCCTCAGAATTTCCACCAATGGGCACAAACCAAAAGACAGCCCTGGGCTACTCAAACGATGAGGGACACATATACAGAAGGAAACTTTATTCTAGCAGGTTATAATGAGATATGTGTCCTTTGAAAAGGTGAGATAAAATTTTGCCAAAACTTTATAGACAAAAGATACTGTAAGCTTAATAGTGGTCTTTTCTTGTGACAAAGGTGATGTGCTAGGTGACGAAGAAGACAAACAAGGGCTCAGACATTGCTGATTCTGAGGAAAACAAAGAAGGGCAGGGAAGATGGGAAGTGTGTGCAGGTAAGCACGTAAGAACAGAGTAAGGACCAGGAGTGGTGGTGCATGCCTTTTTTCCCAGCACTTGGGAGATGGGGGCAGACAGAGGCAGACAGAGGCCAGCCTGATCTACAAAGTGAGTTCCAGGACAGCCAGGGCTACAATCAACAACAATCCTCCCCATCCCCCAACCCCCCCAAAAAGAACAGACTGTGTGTGTCCCAAGATGGAAGCAAGCAGGAGAGAGGCAATAGTAGGTGAGAAACTGAGGAAAGGATGAAGCAAGGAGGGGCTAGACAGAAGGCTAGACATGAAGACTCAAAAGCCCTAATGAGACAGAACAGACAACTATGTCTGTCAGGGCTTGTCAGGGGCCAAAGGCACAGCCCCTGTCCTAGGAGGTCCTTCACACGGACCAGAAGGCCGACAGGGGTGCTGGCCTTACCTTGCTAAGGAGGATGCTGATCTTGTTCCCATTGGCATTGCATCTCAGAGAAGTGATGCTCCCCACGTCAGGGATCAGCTGGGCCAGGTTCTTGCTGCCACAGTGTACTTTTGCTTCCCTGTGTGAGGACAGGAGAAGGAAGAATGAGAGCAGCATCCTCTTGGTACCTTCCTGCTGGTCACAGAAATTAGACTCTCTGACTGCTGAGACCTTGGTCTACAGGGTGTGCTGTTCAGCTCACAGCTTCTCACCTTGTGCACTTAACCCTCTAGTCCAGGGAAAAGGAGGTTAATTTTTAGAACCAATAAAAGGTCTCTTCTAAATTACAGAAAAAAAAAAAAGGTGTCATGTGAGATAAGACTTTGTTTTAACTTCCTGTCTACTAAATTGCCTCATAACTTAAAAAAACAAAGAGCATCTAATACTTGTGTGTGGATGGAAACTGTACCTTCTGGAAAGATCAAAACTTTTAAAGTGAGCTAAATCTGTCCCTGCAACCAGGAAAGTCCCACAGACGTCTAGGAAGCAGGGGCTCCCCTCGGTCTCAGAGAACAGCAGAAGTTGTTTGACAGTTCCCTGGGGAAAGAAGAACAAGTTAGCTGAGCACTTCTATGGTGCCCCCTTTCTCTCCTAAACAACATTCATCTCATGCACTCCAGTCACACATCCAGTATGATTACTAACGGGCTGGCATGCATGAAACCAGGGCTGGTTCCATAGGAAGACAGGTTTGTCTTCAGTACAGCCTTGTGCCATATGCCTCAGAGCAAGGATCAAAGATTCACAGGCCCTCAGCTAGGAAGTGCTCCGTGGTCATTACAGGATGATGGACTGCAGCAAGGGTAGACAGATGGTGACCTCTGTCCCTGTGAGTTGGTCTGGGTGGGCACTATGTTAAGAGTGGCAATGATACTTCTCATATGGCTGGATGTTAGGTGCATGGTCTTCTGGGTAGTGAGGTGGGGAGAAGACCTCTGCCAGGATGGCTGTCACATCCTGGACATATGCCACGTGTGGAAGGCAATCCACATTTTTTCCTATATCTTACATCTCAATAAAATGCTTAAGAAATTAATGTCTCTTCTGGGGGCAACGTTTAGAATGAGGTGAAGCAGGACGAAGCCAGCTAAGGAGACAACACGTACTGAGCAGTTGAGTGACTCTGTATCTAGGATCCTTAAGTCTGACAGTCAGCAATAAACCATGGATAGTTGTATGTTGAGAGGTGGGCAGATGGAGCAGGGCCGTATGGGTGCATTACTGTGGGACAGGAGGCAGGACTTTCCAGGTCAAGTTTACCCACACCTGCTCTGTTCCCATAGTTTCCGCTTCTCAGGTGCCACACACATCCTGCCTGGACTCAGGAAGTGGGAGTGCCCGACTTCTCTCTCCTCTCACTGCCAGAAGTGGGCCCTCAGAGTCTCCCGATTATACCTCCCAGGCTTCTCTTATCCTCCACCAACTCCTTCATCTTCTCACTACACAAGCACACACGTTATATTCTTTTTTATTACATAAGCTTTTTAGTGATTATCTGAGAATTTCACCTCATGCACCCCGATCAAGCTCACTTCTCAGTCTCCCAGGTCTGCCACCCCCAACCCTTGTAACCTCTTTCCATTCCCAACAAAAATAAGAAGGGCGCACACCTTTAATCCTAGCACTCAGGAGGCAGAGGCAGAAGGATGTCTCTGAGTTTGAAGCTAGTCTGATCTACAGATTGAGTTTTGGGATGATCAGGGTTCAAACCCTTGTCTCAAAAAACCAAAAGGGAAGAAAACAAAACCGCATCCAATTTGTGTTGCCCATATACTGGAGCACGGTCAAACTCCCAGTGGCCAGTTTCTTAAAGAAACTGAGTCCTTCCCTACCTGGACCCCTGTCAGAAGCCATCCGTTGTGGAGAGCTACACTTCAGCATCCTTATTACAGTTTTAAGGGTTCTCTTCCATGGCTTTGTGTCTTGGCTGTTAGTTTTGGGGGCTTGGGAGTTGTCACAGAAGCCTTCTATGTCCTTCTTAACTGTGAGTCTACAGGCATTGACACCACTGCAAAAGTAGCTTCTTTGCCCTTTACAGTCAGTGGGAGCACAGATCATGGATGTTCACATGGCCTTTGGCATCAGTACAGGCCATGGACCTCAGCATGGTCTCCAGTGGCAGCACAGACTATGACATTAACACAGCACTCTACCACAGCATGGGCTAATGACATCATCATGGCCTCAGGCAGCAGCATAGACCACAGACATCCAAACGACCTGTGGTGGCAACAGGAGCCACAGATAGATATCAACATGACCACCTGCTATAGGACCACACACATCCACATAAACCACAGCCTGGGGTAGTGGATTACAGATACCAATGTGGCCTCCAGGGTCAGACCACAGAGGTCTTTCCAGGAGTCCAATCCAGAACGTGAACCATTTTTCACCTCAGACATCCTGTCGTTGCTCAGAACCAGGGCAATTGTACAGCTGTTCAGGCTGAATCTGCTAAGCTCCAGAGTACATTACTCTGTGGGTCCCACTCAGCAAGAATCATGCTCCCCTGTCTACTGCAACCCCCTCTCACACCAGTCTCCATCACCACATCTCCAGTTCTTCAGCCTCTCTCCACCATACACTCCTGGCTCTGTTCCTCCATCTTTCCCACCTTTCCATCACATATTCCTTTGTTAAAGTGGTGTTGGAAACTTCAGTGTGTCACACAGTATTTTTTTTTCCCAAACAGCTTTACATTCAAATATTCATTGCAACGAGTTGTTGGTCTAGTTCAAAGTTTCTGGTTTCTGAAGCACCATCAATACTGGACTAGTGTCCCAACTTGTCTTGGCTATCCTGCTGTTGCTCACAGTCAGGGTGAAGTTGCAACTAGGCAGGACATCTTGGGGTTGGTTCTGTATGCACTCCTGGCTGCCACATATCTCCCTGTCCCAGATGTCTGCCACTCTGAGGCTTGCTGGGCTCAACCTTTGTGTTCAGAGCCTGCGGGCAGCGTGGCTGCTCCTGCCCCCACTCTCCATCTACCTGCAGGGCAAGTAGCACAAGCTACAGCCACTGTGGCTCGATGTTTGGGGACCAAGTGGCTGGTGGGCCTAGGGTCGGTCCTATTCAGTAATGAAATGTTTCTGAGGGAGTGCCAGGCTGTTGCAAACCACCCTGTCCTCAGGGCCAGCCACTGGGTGTGATTGTTGTACCCATATTTCAGGCAGAGCTGTTGTCCTGTGCTTCTGTCTCCTAGCAGCACAGGCAGCAGCTGTGGCAGCTCCATGCTGTGGGCTGACCAAAGGCCTGAGGCTGGCCCTATTCAGTCATGCCCTGGTTCTGTGGGAGCTCCATGCCTCCACACTTCTCCCTGTCATCTGTGCCTGCAGCTCTAAGCTCATCTGGCATGACCTCTATGCTGGCAGCCTGTTGGCTGAGACTGGGCAGTGAAGGGACAGATTTCCCCATTCTTCACCTCTTGTGACTGGTGATCTTTCTTTCCAACTTTGTGAATCCATTTTTTAAAAGCATCTTCCCATTAAGACTTGCTTTTTTCCCTCTGTAGTTGTTTTGGAGATACTGCAGGCTCTGCAGATTCCTTTCCTGCCATTGTGTTGCCCCTTCAGAGTCTCCATGGGTTTCAGACTCCACTGAGCTCCATGGTGGGTGCCACCATCATCTTTGTTTTTCTTGAGAAGTTATATTCTAATGAAAATCAACACAAAGCCAGAAGAGGCAAGCCAAATCTATCTTATTCCTGCTGACACCAACATCGGCAGTGCAACAACCTCCTGCCTCATTCCATTCCACCCAGGGCTCTGGCTTCAGTCTTGAACATATACAACCCATATTGTAACCTTCTCTAAAGGTAACAGTGCAGAAAATGGAAAGGAAGTATCTGAAGTCACCTCATCACTGAGCCAGACATTAACAGAGCCACACATGTCTGCCTCCTGAAGAGAGATAAGGGTCTACAAGGGCAGGCCAGATGTTCGACAGGAACGTGAGAGAGACTACTAGTATTTCTTCACTGGCCAAAACCAGCACACACGACGTCTCTGACATTAAGATGGCAGACAGGCTGGTGGTGTGTGTGCATGAGGATTGGGTTGTATCTAAATACTGTGCCCAAAACAAAACCCAAAGAAAGAAGTTGGGGGAGGAGCCTGAAACCTGAAGTCCCGTCTCTATTCTGGTACTGCTTTTCCTTAATCTACTGTGAAGAACAGTACCCCCTTGTAGGCTTTGATTTTTCAAAACCTACTTTTAATAAGGGTTTTTAAATGTTTTAACCTCCCTTCTAGCCCATTATCCACCAGAGGTGGTGGAAAAGAGAAGTTATTACAAGACAGGTGAAGTGGATCTGCTTAGAAATAGTTCTTTGGAATAAATCCAATCTGTGTTGTCAGTATAGCAGCAGCTTAGTTCAAATGAATCACCGGCAACTTGATACTAAGGAGTCTCGAGGCTCTGATGTGTGCTGTTTAGAAGTAGTTCCTCGGGGCAATTTCAATCTCCAATTGTCAGGATACCGGCAGTCCAGTTCAGTAGTGTCAGGATAGCAAACACAAATCAGCAGTGGTGGCACAATCCAACAGAAACAGCTAGGCCTCTGCCAAATCAGCATGAATCAGCAGGCGTGACCAGGACCAGCAGGGATGCCAACAGAAGTTCTCTGCCTGTGCCTCTCTCAACAAAAAGAAGACTGAGATAAATGAAGCACTGCAAAGCTATCTATGCAAGCCCACCATCACTGTCCATTAAGTTCTAGTTATACTCCCTCCAAACATCATGTGTCCTCCCATGAGTCTTGCCACAGTAAAACACCTCATGAATCTATCTTAGCAAAACTCCACGGGAGTCTATTAGCTGACATACCTAGAAAAATATCTACTTCACTGTGCCAATCAGCCCGAATCCCCAGAAGCAGCAAGAAGCCACCAGAAGTTTATTTTGGTGCATTTCCTTTTATAAAGTCAAGACAAACAATGACCAATAAGAAATGGCAAGGCATACCAATGCCATCCAGCACTGTCCACTGTCTGTTGGGTTATATTTACACTCCTTCTAAACATCATGTGTCTTTTTATACGTCTGCTTCAGCCAAACATTCTTTCACCTGCTTGCTTTAGTAAAACATCCTCACCTATGTGCTCCAACTAAACATCATTTGACATAACTGACTCTTCAAAGAAAGCATAAGTTATCACTTCACCCTCTCTCGTTTCCACATCCCTGGCTGACACTCCATGTAAGACTGCTAAAGCCACAGTGCAAACATCAGAGAATGAGAGACAGCATAGGCAGGAGAGACAGTGGCTCTGGATATAGGCTGCCCAGTGGGCGCAGACATCCTGCCTTCTAGCCTCTCAGCTCTCCTGAACCTATAGGCTATAGAAAAACATGGCATCTTATGTTTATGGACTAGCGCCCATTCTTTCTTTCCACGAGGGTGCAAGGGCACGTGGTGCTTCCTCACTACCTAATGTCCACACACCTTCCCGTCCCTCCTCACTTCAGTCTTTACCCTGGCATTGATTACTGTCTGGCACTCACTGCCTGTCACCCAGAAACAACAGCGTTATGCCAGGCCTAGATGAGAAGCACGTGAGGCACAAGATCATGGATGTGACAATTCCAGTGAAGCAAACACTCAAAGAAACAACTCAAAGTCCCACATAAAAACCACTGAAGGGAAACAGAGTAGCAACTGGATCTGGGAGAGAAGTGGGGGAGGCAAGCTGGGAGGAGGGGAGGCTGCAGTTCAGACATGTTGTATGAGAGAAAAAAAAATCCACTCCAGGACTGGAGAGACGGCTTATGAGGATCAGAATGTAGATCCTCAAAACCCACATAAAGCCGGACATAATGGCATGTGCCTGAATGGTGGGACAGGAGGCTGAGGCAAGCAGATACTTGGAAGCTTGTTGGCCAGCTAGCCTGGCATATGTGGTGAAGTTCCAGGTCAATGAGAGACCTTGTCTCACATGAAAAGTTGAAGAAGCCAGAAGATGAATATCTGATGTTGTCCTCTGAAACTCCCATGTACAACATGTATATGTGCACACAGTCTTCCTTGCCTCCCTCCCTTCCCCCCCCAGACACAGACAGACAGACAGACAGACAGACAGACACATACACACACACACACACACACTTGCATAAAACTATAGACAGACTCTGAATCTTGTCATAAAATGTTGCTTCACATAATTAGTTGAACAGTTGCCTCCCAAAATTACATCTACAAAGACCCTTTCACAGCAGGAGTTTTCTTGAAATCCTGCTGTGAGAGAGTCTTTGCAGATGAAAGTAAATCAAGGCTGTCTTTATTTTTATGGTTCTGGGAATGCACCTCAGGGCTCTGTCCAATCTAGACACTGTACTAATCCATACTCCTAGCACCAAGACTTTCAGATGAAATCATTCTGAGTTAGAACAAGTCCTAAACCCACCGACAAGGAATTCTGTTTTCTGTGCTCTGGATGAAGCCCAGGTCCCTCTTCATGCTAAGCGCACAGCCCACCACTGAACTATATACTCTAGTGAAACTGTGCTTTTTTTTTTTAAAGATTTGTGTGTATGCATGTTTTAATCACATGTATATCTGCATACCACATACATGCCCTGGAGATCAGAACAGCGTAGCTGATGCCCTGGAACTGGAGCTGTGGATGGTTGTGAGCCACCATGTGGGTACTAGGAACAGAACCCAGAACTTGTAAGAACAAGAGCTCTTCACTGCTGAGGCATCTTTACATCCTCTCAAAGTGTTTTTATCAGACATGAAGAGAAGACATAGGAAATATCATATAGGAAAATGCCATGTGAAGAACAGATCAGAATCTAGGGAAACCTCTGCAAACCAAAGACACCACGGATTGACAGGACCACCAGCTCCTGGAAATTTCGAGAGGCAGGAACAATTTCTTGGCAAAGCTCTCTGAAGAAACTTGCTCTGACCAACCTAGATTCAGGATTTGATTTCCAGAACATGAGAGAAAACCCCTTCTTTTCCTTTAAGCCACTGTTTTGTGGAAATGTGCTGCGGCAGCCACAGCAGGTCAGTACCACGTCAGCCCTGGTAGCCAGGCACAGCGGAGTGCAGACAGGGACGATGTCTGACACAGATGCTGTGCTGTATGAGGCCAGCACTGAACTACTGTACAGTTTAAAAGGTACTCCCATCCTGGCTTCATTCTCACACCGAGAATGGCTCATCCAGAAACGTCATCTAAACTGACAGGAAGAAGCCTTCAGGATGTATGGTGAACCAACATGCATTTCCTCCTCTCTGTAGAGTCAAGGTCCAGTGAAATGGACCATTTCCCTGAAAAAGGCACTAACTCTGTCTTCCTCTTTCAGAAGTCACAGCCATGGATGGGTAGGCTACCCCGGAGCCCATATTTTGCAGTGAGCCACTTAATGGAAAGATAGTATTTTCAACGTGGCTGAACTTTATCGTCACACTCACTGTCAACATTCACTTACCTGCCAGGTCCGGACTTGGAGTCGGTTTGGCTCCACAGTGTAAATGCTTTCCTCGTGCATGGCTAGCACTGATGTTTCACACAGGAATGTCCCTGAAATGAAAGATGAACATTGAGACAGCAGCAGCATGGTACAAGTCCTGTGTGTGGAATCCCTAGTCGGCCTAGTCCTCATGGTAACTCCATGAGACTATCTTACCTAAATCTTGTACAGAGTTCCAGAATAAAAAAGAAAAAAAATAGTACAAACACTAAAAATGCAAAGCCAAGAGACATGAAAATACAATAAAAAAGAAGAAAAAGAGACGCCAAAGAAACACCTGTTGGAACTTAGGGAACTACGGAGATGCCTAGGGCCCTAGGCCTGATCTGGGAGATTCAACTCGCCCACCCACCCTGCTTATCAGGCTGATTTCCTCTCCCCCTGGCTGAAGGTGTTTCCAGGAGCTCAACATCTAGGACAGTGAGCCTGATAAGCACACGCCCACATCATGAGGAACTTTGGAGGCTTCTGTGCCCCAGCCAAAGGTGCTGAGGAGCAGATCAGTCAGGGAGGCTGACAACACACACAACACAAGACATCTCAGCGCCCGCCGTTCTAGTCATCCTTGAGATAAAGGTGCACATCCTTGCTCCTTGGGACTCACAGGACAGAGGAGCAGCAGAGCCCTCTCAGAGCGTAAAGAGTCTAACCTGCATTCCTTAAGGTGGATCCAGAAGGTTCAAAGATCGCCACCTGTTTTCCATTCCAGACAGCCACAGCATCCTAAATGAATGTTGGAAAGCAGAGGTAAGAAAGAGTACGACACAGACCACAGACCCACTGCATGTTCCAAAGCCTGCCCTCTTCCTGCATCACTGAGGCTCACTATGCTGGGAGCCTGACTTCAGGTCGTCTTCCATGGATACAGGTTTAAAACGCTTGTGTGCTTTTAGCATTTTCTTTATAAATGTGACACCCATGGACATTCAGGGTGGTGAGCAAGGTGGGCGTGAGAATGGCTTAAGTTGTACTGAGTTACCCTAATGCCTCAGCAGGCAGTTCTTCTGCCTGCATAGAAGACCCTCATCTAACACCCACAGGCACCCTCAGCAGTCACCTTGGTGGCGAATACTCCACTGATGTGCATGTCGGTGCGCAGGCTGTGTGTGCCCCCCGTGGACAGGAAAGACACATTGACTAGGCTCGGGGAGATCTGCACGGCAGCCACTTGCTGGTGGAAGTGTGATGACATGGCTTGCTCACTGAGGATGGACACGGACTCAGTGCTGCTCACCGCCAGAAGGTTCTTCCTGGAGCCCCACTTCAGTACCATGTAAGGAGAATCAAATGCATAAACAAAGCAGGAGAGACACAGGCAGGAACTATATAAATGCCCCCTATGAGAGTCCATAGCCGCTTCCTGTTGTTTAAAAAACAACTTTAAAACTTCAAAAGGTAAAATATGCACGTTGTAGAAAAATCTTAAAATACTGATAGATGTGGGCTGTGAACTGGCAGGTAGATACCTCTGTGGCTGTTCTACCCAAGGTCTGCTCTAACCACAGGACGTCGGTTAGAAATTTGTCATTCTGATTATGATATTCATATATATTATTTTCTATGAATTTATAGGAAATTTATATCATTAAATTACCCAGCTTTCTTCTGCTGGTGAGAAATGTTAGTTTCCTAGCTTCAAGTCTATCTGACATGTTCAGTTTTCAACAAATAATTAAGAGGCACGTAAAAGACTAGAATATGGCCAAAGGAGAGGGGCCAAGTAGGTGTGAAAGGATCCAGATGATGCTGGACTCAGGAAGACTTCACGGCAGGCTGCTACCAGTGTGCTCATTCCCACAAGCGTCCTACTGGAATACGGGAAGGTGTGGTGACTCTGTCTCTTCAGACAGAGTGCCAACAAAGTGACAAATTAACAACAAAATGCTCCCAAGAAATGAAGTACATGTACAAAACCTGTATACAAATGTTCACAGCAGCTTCATTCCTAACAGCCCCAAGGTGGGAACAACCCAAACGCCAATCAGCTAAGTGACAGAAAAACTCTGCTCTACTTATACAATGGGATACTTAACCACAGAAAGGAACACTGACACCTGGGGTGACATGCAAGAAGCAGGAGGCCAGCAAAGAAGTCACAAACACTGGGTTTTATATGCCTCTCTCCTCCTCTCCCTCTCCTCCTCCTTTCTCCCTACCATCCATCCATCCATCCACCCACCCACCCACCCACCCATCCATCCATCCATCCATCCATCCAACCATATAGGATTTTGAGACAAAGCCTCTCTTCACAGCCCTGTCTTGGAACTCAGAGATCTGCCTGCCTCTGCCCACTAAGTGCTGGGGATAAAGGCGTGCGCCACTCTGCCTAGCTATACACTTTATTACGCTTCATTATTTATGAGATGTCCAAAGCAGACAAATCCAGTTGCAATGTGTATTACTGACTGTGGAAGGCTGGGAGAAGGAAAGCAGAGGAGAGGTATGGATTTCTTTTGAGAATAATTAAAATGTTTTAAAGTTTATTGTAAAGAAAAAAGATTGTGGTGAAGGCTGGCAAAACTCTGTGAATACACTAAAAAAATCACTGGGTATGTAACCTGTATCTTGATGAAGCTGTTTTAAACGTATTTATATATGAACATCTGTAAGTAGAGACAGAGGAACTGGTAAATAGATCAACAGATATTAAAATACATCCACAATCTTTTATCTGCAATACTGAAATTAAAGGACATTTAAAATATATTCTTTTCTTTTCCTTTTGAGACAGGGTCTTATCATGAGACCCAGGCTGGTCTTTCTTGAACTCAAGAACTTCATGGCTCAGGTTCCTAAGTACTGGGATTATGTATCTGTATAATTTCTTTGTTTTTGTTTGTTTGTTTGTTTTCGAGACAGGGTTTCTCTGTGTAGTCCTGGCTGTCCTGGAACTCACTCTGTAGACCAGGTTAGCCTCGAACTCAGAAATCCGCCTGCCTCTGCCTCCCAAGTGCTGGGATTAATGGCGTGTGCCACCACTGCCTGGCATAATTTTTTATTAGTGTTATCTTTCTGATGCTAAATTGAGTAACTGATTAAAAAAAAAAAAAAAAAAAAAAAAAAACATGTTCCAAGCTAATTATGTTCTCTTTTTGGTACAGCAGTCAGTGAGAGCATCAAATGTGACACAGAGCTGTGTACTGCACCTTTATCTGTGTGATGTTTCCTTCAAGCTCAGTAGGTGTCTGAAGGGCCCACATGTCCTTGCCCTCCGCCCCACGACCACTTGGGGAGGTTGGCACTTTTTTCCACATAGCTATTCGTCCTTTATGGGTACCCGCTGCCAGGAGACCTACAGGTAAAAACAAAGCACATGTTAGTTGTATTGAGAAAGATTTAAAAGGTGGTAGTGAATGCTGTGTTTGGTTTGCAATCTGCCTCACTCAGGCTGCTTCCGAGCCCCACAAGTGCTGAGTGGGAGCTCAGTGACACTCTGGTTCACTTCCTAACTTCCTGTCCATGATAATATTGGCACACGTGTGCATTTGTATACTTTCACTGTTGCACAAACATGACCCATAGCATCCCAGGAAGGAACAGGTACCAATGTATAATGTCAGTGTCACTCTTATGGTTTTACTGAGACAGGGTTTCTGTGTAGCCCTGGCTGTCCTGGAATCTCTTTGTAGGCCAGGCTGGTCCTGAACTCAGAGATCTCCCTCACTCTGCCTCACAAGTGCACTACCTGGCATCTTTCTTTTTCTTCTTCTTTTTTAAATAGTATTTCATTTTGTAGCTTTTGAGCTTTGACTCAAAACACAGACAAGGCTGGCCTTGAACTCTCAGAAAGCCACCTGCCTCTGCCTTCTGAGCACTAGGATTAAAGGGCTGTGCCACCATGCCCAGCTCCACTTTTGAATAGGCTCTACATTCCTCTATAACTTATTTTCTTGACACAGTGCTTGAAGTTGTTTCTATTCTTTTCAGACCAAAAAAATCTTACCTTTGGCTTTACAGAAACACACACAGTTTATATTCTCTCCCCTTTCAAAGCCGAACGTCTCCTGTAGACTCAGTATGTAGTTCTCTCCCCGTTCTAGGTCCCAGAACCTGCAGCAGAAGGGAAAGTGCTGTGAAAGACTTTTATTATATTAGCACCCTCCTCTGATCTGAGGGCTGTACCAAGCCTGGGAAAACACAGAGCTGTGCTCTACAGACTCCTAATACAAGAAGGGACTTGATCTTACATGACTGCAGAGGAAGAATAGAGCATAGGAATCCCAGCCACACATGGCAACAGTGAACATTACCCTGAACTGAGCGGCCAAAAAGATACCAAAATGCCTGTTTCTATTGTCAATTTTAAGAAATCATGCAGAACTAGGTTTGGCAGAGATACCTGTAGTCCTAGTTACTTGAGAGGCAGAGGCAGGAGCAATGCTGGACACCAGCATAAACAGCAGCAACAAGACCCTATGTCAAAAAACAAATTTCTTCCAAACCAGGCAAAGTGATTGTGAGGGCAATATATATCATATAGCCTGCTGAAGGCATAGGGATGGCAGGGAGGACAGCCAGAGTAGGTGAGTACTCCTGGGCCTCCGTTCTTGAGTTACATAGACCTGTATAATACATCAGAATTCATCACAATATGCATATTCTGTGTTTATGTTAAAAGAGTCTGTTCCTGACATGATTTTCCAGGGCTCTGTATGCGAGGATAACTTCTCACCTGAGCACAGGTTCCCCAATGGCTGTCACAAGAAGGCTGCCCTCTATCAAAGTGATATCTGCCCGGCGGCCTGTCTTCCCACTCAACTTTACCTGTATGAGGAAAAAGGTAACTTGAAAGAAGCACCCGGCTCTCACTGAGATGCCTGATGAAATTGTGTTAGCCTGGCATCTGGTCTTTAGTGACATCACTGAGACTCACAGAGGGGTGGCCACACAGGACAAATAGTGGAAATGGAAAGCTGGCCTAATTTTTAAGAGGTTGTGCAGTGATAATTATGGAATTTTGGTTTCTTCAAAAAACACAGAAACATTGTAAGAACATGCTTTCATTTCAATCTCGGGGTGGAATGTGGGGCTGCTTTGGACTGTCCCCAGTAGCCGACTATGACGCCTCATGCTCTCAAAGAGTCATGGTTTTACCCACCACAGACAGTCTCTGCAATTGTGTGATCTTTGGAATTCTTGGAACTTTCCAGAGGGTATATAAATGCTATTGCCCCAGTAGATGGGGTGGGTGGTTGTCCGTCATTTAGGAAGGTTGGTTGCAGTTTGTTAGTAGCTATGGCCAAAGAAGAAACAGAAGGAATGAAATTAGATTCACGGATTTTCCTAAGTCCTCTTTTCTCTATCCTTGTTTCTCTCCAATCTAGTGTTAGGGGATGAAACGGGGAAAAAAGGGTGAAAAAAAATAAGAATCCTCAAAGGAGCAAAGACTAACTACAGGGTTGATCTGGAGAGATGGTTCAGTGGTTAAGAGCACTGACTGCTCTTCCAGAGGACCAGGGTTTGATTCTCAGCATCCACATGACTGTTCACAACTGCCTGTATTTCCAGTCCCAGAGAATCTAACAATCTCTTCTGGCCTCAGCGGGTACTAGGCACACTCTTGGTACACAGACATCCATGCAGGCAAAACACCCATAATATTTATAAAAAATTCTAAAAGGATCTCCAACTTAGTGCACTGTGGGCATTCCAGAGTGAACACTAGTCAAGCTGGGTGCTCCTTGTTCTGTCATGACTGCTTTAGGAAAGGTCTCTCCCACCCTTACTTTGTGCAGAAAGCAAACTTTCCCAGAGTCCGACAATCAGTAAGGAGCTAACCAGGTACCTGAGGAAAGGTGTTATGAACTAACTGTATCTCCTCTCCATCCCTTCATATGCTGAAGCACCACCTACCTATGTGACTGTACATGCAGAGACAGCCTTTAGAAGGTAATTAAGGGAGGATAGTGGACTCAGACCTTAGGACCAGATACAGCAGCGAACTCGTGCTCACACTCTCCCTCGTGCTCACGTGTTTTCTTGCTCCTCCACTCTAGACTCCACACAAGCACACAGGGAGGCCACTTGATGTAATCCAGAAAGTGGTTTCTCAACAAGAACTGACCTAGTGGCCAGGCTGTGGTGGCATACACCGTTAATCCTAGCATTTAGGAGGCAGAGGCAGGTGGATCTCAGGTGAAGTTCAAGGCCTAGCCTGGTCTACTGAGCAAGTTTCAGGATAGCCAGGGCTACAAAGAGAAACCCTGTCTTGAAAAACAAAACAAAACAAACAAACCCCTAGAAACACCTGAACTGGCTGCAGTTTGATTGGGACTTCCTGCCTCCAGAACTATGAGTGAGAACTGCATGTTGTTAAACTATATAGTAAGTGGCTGTTTGTCAAGTTGGCTCAAGCTGACCTCGACCCCAGGTCCTTGCAGCTCATGGAATTCATGGCTACTGTTACAGGACACAAGGAGCTCTCCGACCTAGAGGAATATCTTTATGAAAAGTCCAGCATTCTCTTTGGTTCATGGATTCTTATAAATCAAGGGACCAGCGGGGCATTCTGGCTTACATCTGTAATCTTAGAATTTAATAAACTAAGGCAGGAGGATTAGGAGTTCAAGGTCAGCCTTGGCTACTCAGCAAGTTCCAGGCCAATGTGGCACATGAGACCTTGTCTCAAAACAAAACAGTCAAAATAAGCCAACCCCTCAAAAAAAAAAAAAAAAAAAACCCAAGGCAAAAAAAAACCCCAAACAAACAAACAAACCTAACCCAAAAAACTAATGAAAGAACAATAGGAGTCTGGAGAGATGGCTCAACAGGTAAGAGCACTGGCTGCTCTTCCAGAGAACTTAGGATCAACTCCCAGTACACATTTGGTGGCTCACAACTCCAGTTTCATGAGAGTCAACACCCTCTTCTATTCTCTATGGGCACCAAGCATGTATGTGGTGTACAGACACACATGCCGGCAAAACACTTACACATACTTAAAAAAGGGAGTGGAGGGCAAAAGGTTAACGGGCAGCAAGCAGCAGTGCTGAGATGAACTGTACAGGAACACAGGTGGCCTTCATCCAGGAGCATGTGGTGGTACTACATGCCTTCCTAGTGGACCTCTTAAACATGTAGAGGGACTCAGGCTAACAATACAGCTCTATGTCTTTCCTCAACATCCTCGTATCTTAAAAGCATTACAGTTGAGCAAGGTAACTAGCAATTGCTCACTGTGTGAATGCCTACGGCAGCAAACAGTCAGCGTGAAGGACCACTTTGTTGAAGTGACATTGCAACAGACACTGAGCAATGCCACCTCCAACTCTGGGCCAGTAAAAGAGCCTCCTTATATAGCTGAAAAGTGGGGAGCATGTCTCCTGTCCATCCAGCTCTGCTGTGAAAGCCCAGCGAGATGCTGAGGCTGATTCTCTAGTTGAGAAGGGTGCAGACAGGGAGCAAGCCTGGCAGCCTAGGCAACACCGGTCCTCTCCACCTCTGTCCAGAGGCACTGGGAAATCTCTCATTTTCCTCACTTACATCAAATGGCAAGGTAGCTGTTCTATCTTGAAAGTGACAGTGAACTCTCAATCTTGCTAACCAAGATTGAAAAGACAGTCAAAGCAGGCAAGAAAACCTGGTCCCAGGTCTTTTAGCATACCTCAGCATCTAGGCTAGCCTAGGCTAGCCCCACACCTTGCTCCTTCACCTACCTTCATGACTTCTTCAGCTTCTCCCTCAGGAGTCACCACATACAGAGACAGTAGAAGGTTCTGTGTGACCACAACCAGTGCCTCTCTCTTCTCAATGTAGAATAACGTCTGGATGGAGCTGTCTGTGGACGCCACCTGGGCAGTCTTGCCCTTTTCATCCACATAGTGCACTGTCCCTAGGGAAAGAGGTGGCTCCTGGGTCATCTGTCTTTCAACAATACCCACTGGCAGCCATTTCTATTTCCTTAAGGATGCTCTGACAGTACATCTACCATTGTTATCAGAACTTAAGGATTTCTGAGTTCGAGGCCAGCCTGGTCTACAGAGTGAGTTCCGGGACATCGAGGGCTATACAGAGAAACACTGTCTCAAAAAAAAAAAAAAAAAAGAACTCAAGACATTTGCCACAATGTCTCTCAGGCTGAAACATCCCTGAAATGATCTCTGCTTTCCTGCTTAGGCTAGCTGTCGCTGTGATTCCTTCTCCACTACTCTTTCGGGATATCAATTAGCATCCAGCCATCTGATTCTGTAGCTTTGTAACTAATCCATCATCTCTGCTCAGTATCTTTAGGTTGGTTTGTTTGCTTATTTTTCATTTGTATGGGTGTTTTGCCTGCATTTACATTGTGTACCACATTCATACAGTGATCACAGAGGTCATCAGATTCCCATGGGACTGGAATTAAAAACGTTTGTGAGCCACCATATGGGTGCTGAAAGTCAAACCTGGGTCCTCTGAAAGAGCAGCCAGGGTTCTTAACCACTGAGCAATGTCTCCAGCCCCAAAGATTTATTTGTTCATGTATTTTATGTATATGGGCATTTTGTGTGTGTGCATGTCTGCACACCTGAGGAGGGCATTACAGGTGGTTGTCAGCAACCGAGTGGTTGCTGGGAAGTAAACTCAGGACCTCTGGAAGAACAGCCAGTGCTCTCAACCATGGACTCACCCCTCCAGCCTTCTGTAGGAGTGTTTATACCCTCCCTATCCTGAGACCCTACAGGATGACTCTCCGCCCCTCAGGTCTCCTGCCATTCGGTTTGTTACTTGCTATCACTTTCCTCTTTTGCCCTCCCGAGCTCCTTAGCATGTAAGCTTCAGGAGTCAGTGGCCTCATCTCCCCAACTACACTCCTCCTCTTCCTGTCCTGCCCTAAAGACCACTTCAACATGAGTCAGCAACATCTGGTCTGCCTCCTTTGTTTCTTCTTAGGTGTCTGAGTGATAGATGAGTTCCCAGGATTCTCTGGCTCATTTCTGAAGTTCTTCAGGAGCCTCCTCAGGGGACCTTCTTATCCTCTGGACACATCTTATTCCTCATGAAATACTTGAGTTCTTGTTAAAATGGGAAGTTCACCATCACCTAAGTTAATTTTAACAATTAGTATTTAACAAGCAGAGATTGCGGAGCAGGTCTTTTACAGACAAGACAGCAGACACTAACATAATTCTCATCTTCCACAAAGGGAAATTAAAATACAAAGAATTTGTACCCGAAAGCCTTCATCTTGGGGGAACGGGCAGAGATGTAAATCTAGATCCTCCATAGCTCTCTCTGTACACATCCTCTTCCAAGATACTAGCCTCAGTCTGTCCATCTCAGCACTCCTTCCTGTACCCTTCTCTCTGGGCCTTGGTGATGCACCCACTTTGATATTCCCTCAGTTGAGAGAAACTGACTCTTCCTCAATTGTCCCTCTACACTGGCTCTCTTTATTCTCTAAAACAAAAGATTTCTCCTATTCAAAAACTATAAACTTGGGGACTGGAGAGATGGCTCAGAGGTTAAAAACACTGGTTGCTCTTCCAGAGGGACCCAGGTTCAAATCTTAGCACATGCATGGCAGTTCACAACTGTATGTTGTTCCAATTACAGGGCATCTGACACCTCTATGTATGTCTATACATAGAGGAAGAACACCAATGTAAATAAAATTAAAAAAAAAAAAAAACTATAAACCCTACAAACTCTTCCAACATCAGCAGCCTCCCTTCTCAAACCTAGTCACCTTCTGTGGCTCTTACTTGCTCCGCCTGTGCCAGGCACTCCTGTTGAGGTGTGGTCTGTTGCTACATATTGTAATGGTAAATTCAGTACCCAAAGGTCTATTTGCTATGAGTGAATTCTCACACTTACCAGCTTTTAAGGTGTAAACCTTGCTCCTTAACTTAAAATCATTGGTTAATAAACATGCCTATAGCCGAGCAGAAAAGAGGTAGGTGGGGCTTCAGTTCCTGGGCTTGGGGTCTGAGGAGGGACCATGAGGAGAGGGAGAGGGGAGGAGGAGGGCATCACAAGAAGAGATAGACCATGACCACATGGCCAGGAGAAACAGTAAGAATTTGGGGTATACTGCTGGGGAGGCAGCCAGGCTAGCAGTTAGAGAAGTAGATTAGGGGTCATGTGCTTAGAATAAGTAATTGTCAAAGCCAAATAAAATAAGCATAGTCTGAGCCTCATTCATTCTTAAATTAGACAGGGATAAGATTAAGTTAGTTCAACTAAAAAAAAAAAATTAGTTCAACTACATTCCACATAAGACTGTTACTCTTTCTCATTAGCTTCAGGGAGCATTTGTTTCAGCCCTGGCTGGGATCAATGTCTCCTGCTTATACTGAGAATAAGTGGTATTAAAATCATCTACTAGCATGGTAGTAGAGCTATAATCTCTGCCCCCAGAAAGCTTCGGCAAGAGGGTGGCCAAGACTTTAAGATTAGACTAGGCAAAAACAAAACAATTTCCCCCACACTGACACACACACACACACACACACACACACACACACACACACACACACAC